CATTTAATTATTTCCCCATTGGAAGACAGAAACCAGATTTAATCTAAAAGTGGAGGCGCCGGTATCGATCCCGGACCTCTCGCATGCTGGCGAGCGCTCTACCACTGAGCTACCCCCTTCTCGGGAAGTCCCAATTGATTTAATTATTTCCCATTTGGAAGACAGACAGAATTTAATCTAAAAATGTGGAGGCGCGGACGATCTCGGTACTCTCGCATGCTGGCGAGCGCTCACCATCTGAGCTACGCCCTTCTGGAAGTCCACTGTTTAATTATTTCCATTTGAAGCAGAAACCAGAATTTAATCAATACGAATAACTGGAGGCCCGGGTATCGATCCCTCTCTCGCATGCGAAGCGAGCGCTCTACCATCTGAGTTGCTGCCCCCGGAAGTCCACTGATTTAATTTTTCCCCATTTGGAAGACAGAAACCAGAATTTAATCTAAAAATGGAGGCGCCGGTATCGATCCCGGTACTCGCATGCTAGCGAGCGCTCTACCATCTGAGCTACGCCCCTCTCGTGGAAGTCCCACCGATTTAATTATTTCCCATTTGGAAGACATACACAGAATTTAATCAAAATTTGAGGCGCCGGGTATCGATCCCCGTACCTCGCATGCTAAGCGAGCCTCTACCATCTGAGCTACGCCCCTTCGTGGAGTCATACTGATTTAATTATTTCCCATTTGGAAGGATAACAGAATTTAATCTAAAATTTGAGGCGCCGGGTATCGATCCGGTATCTCGCATGCGAAGCGAGCGCTCTACCATTCGAGCTACGCCCTCTGTGGATGCTAATTGATTTAATTATTTCCCCATTTGGAAGACAGAAACCAGAATTTAATCTAAAAGTGGAGGCGCCGGGTATCGATCCCTGGCTTCTCGCATGCTAAGCGAGCGCTCTACCATCTGAGCTACGCCCCTGTGGAGTCACTGATTTAATTATTTCCCCATTTGGAAGATACGGATTTAATCTAAAATTGGAGCGCCGGTATCGATCCGGCTCTCGCATGCTAAGCGAGCGCTCTACCATCTGAGCTACGCCCCTTCGTGGAAATCCACTGATTTAATTTTTCCCATTTGGAAGACAGAAACCAGAATTTAATCTAAAATTAGCGCCGGGTATCGATCCCGGTACCTCTCGCATGCAAGCGAGCGTCTCTACCATCTGAGCTACGCCCCTTCGGAAGTCCACTGATTTAATTTTTCCCCATTTGGAAGACAGAAACCAGAATTTAATCTAAAATGAGGGCCGGTATCGATCCCGGTACCTCTGCATGATAGCGAGCGTCTACCATCGAGCTACGCCCCTTCTTGAAGTCCCACTGATTTAATTATTTCCCCATTTGGAAGACATACACAGAATTTAATCAAAATTGGAGGCGCCGGGTATCGATCCGGTACACTCTCGCATGCGAAGCGAGCGCTCTACCATCTGAGTACGCCCCTTCGTGGAGTCTACTGATTTAATTATTTCCATTTGGAAGGAACACAGAATTTAATCTAAAATGGAGGCGCCGGGTATCGATCCCGTACCTCTCGCATGCTAAGCGAGCGCTCTACCATCTGAGCTACGCCCCCGGAAGTCCACTGATTTAATTTTTCCCATTTGGAAGACAGAAACCAGAATTTAATCTAAAAAATGGAGGCGGTATCGATCCCGGTATCTCGCATGCCAGCGAGCGCTCTACCATCTGAGCAGCCCCCCTTCGTGGAAGTCCCACTGATTTAATTATTTCCCCATTTGGAAGAAAACACAGAATTTAATTAAAATTTGAGGCGCCGGTATGATCCCCGTACTCTCGCATGCAAGGAGCGCTCTACCATCTGAGCTACGCCCTTCGTGGAGTCATACTGATTTAATTATTTCCCCATTTGGAAGATACACGAGAATTTAATCTAAAATTGAGGCCGGGTATCGATCCGCATCTCGCATGCGAAGCGAGCACCATCTGAGCTACGCCCCTTCGTGGAGTCCAATCGATTTAATTATTTCCCATTTGGAAGAAAACACAGAATTTAATCTAAAATTGAGGCGTCGGTATCGATCCCGGTATCCTCGCGCGAGCGTCTACCATCTGAGCTACGCCCTTCGTGGAAGTCCACTGATTTAATTATTTCCCCATTTGGAAGACGTACCAGAATTTAATTCAAAAATTGAGGCGCCGGGTATCGATCCCGGTATCTCCTCATGCAAGGAGCGCTCTACCATCTGAGCTAGCCCCTCGTGGATGTCACTGATTTAATTATTTCCCCATTTGGAAGAAATACACGAGAATTTAATCAAAATTGGAGGCGCCGGGTATCGATGTCCCGACTCTCGCATGCAAGCGAGCGCTCTACATCTGAGCTACGCCCCTTCTGGATGGCGTACTGATTTATATTTCCCCATTTGGAAGAATACACGAGATTAATTTATGGAGGCGCCGGTATCGATCCCCGTACTCGCATGAAGCGAGCGCTCTTACCATCTGAGCTACGCCCTTCGTGGAGTCATACTGATTTAATTATTTCCCCATTTGGAAGAAATACAAGAATTTAATCTAAAATGGAGGCGCTGGTATCGATCCCGGTATTCCGCATGCGAAGCGAGCGCTCTACCATCTGAGCTACGCCCCTTCGTGGAGTCATATGATTTAATTATTTCCCATTTGGAACAAGAAATACACGAGAATTTAATCTAAAATTGAGGCGCTGGGTATCGATCCCGTACTCTCTGCATGCGAAGCGAGCGCTCTAACCATGAGCTACGCCCCCCTTGGAAGTCCACTGATTTAATTATTTCCCCATTTGGAAGACGACCAGAATTTAATCTAAAAAATGGAGGCGCCGATCGACCCGGTACCTCTCGCATGCGAAGCGAGCGCTCTACCATCTGAGCTACGCCCCTTCGTGGAGTCCACTGATTTAATTATTTCCATTTGGAAGAAAACACAGAATTTAATCTAAAATTGGAGGCGCCGGGTATCATCCCGGTACTTCGCATGCGAAGCGAGCGCTCTCATCTGAGCTACGCCCCTCGTGGATCTACTGATTTAATTATTTCCCCATTTGAAGACAGAAACAGAATTTAATCTAAAAAATGGAGGCCGGGATCGATCCCGGTACCTCTCCCATGCTAAGCGGAGCGGTCACCATCTGAGCTACGCCCTTCGTGGAGTCACTGATTTAATTATTTCCCCATTTGAAGACAGAAACCAGAATTTAATCTAAAAGTGGAGGCGCCGGGTATCGATCCGGTACCTCTCGCATGCTAAGCGAGCGCTCTACCATCTGAGCTACGCCCCTCTGCAGTCCCACTGATTTAAATTTCCCATTTGGAAGACGACACAGAATTTAATCTAAAATTAGGCGCGGTATCGATCCGGTACCTCTCGCATGCTAAGCGAGCTCTACCATCTGAGCTACGCCCCTCGTGAGTCCCACTGATTTATTTCCACCATTTGGAAGATAGAAACCAGAATTTAGTCTAAAAAGTGGAGGCGCCGGATATTGATCCCGGTACCTCTCGCGTGATAGGCGAGCGCCCTACCACCTGAGGTACACCCCCTTCGAGGAAATCCCACTGATTTAATTATTTCCCCCATGTGGAAGACAGAAACCAGAATTTAATCTAAAAATCGGAGTCGCCGGGTATCGATCCCGGTACCTCTCGCATGCTAAGTGAGCGCTCTACCGTCTGAGCTACGCCCCCTTCGTGGAATTCCCACTGATTTAATTATTTCCACCATTTGGAAGATAGAAACCAGAATTTAGTCTAAAAAGTGGAGGCGCCGGATATTGATCCCGGTACCTCTCGCGTGATAGGCGAGCGCCCTACCATCTGAGCTACACCCCCTTCGTGGAAATCCCACTGATTTAATTATTTCCCCCATGTGGAAGACAGAAACCAGAATTTAATCTAAAAATTGGAGGCGCCGGGTATCGATCCCGGCACCTCTCGCTTGCGAAGCGAGCGCTCTACCATCTGAGCTACGACCCCTTTGTGGAAGTCCCACTGATTTAATTGTTTCCCCCATTTGGAAGACAGAA